ATTGGATTGGTTTCTTCTTTAAATTATAAAAAAGTAAATATATGAATGGTATTATAATGTTATACTAAAACTAAAACAATGGAAAAACCCTTAAGATAACATGTAGAAAGAAGAAAAAACATCTTAAGCGTGCAGATAACATAAGTGGACTTTGAACGATTAATTGCCGCTTTGAACGATTACGTAATTGTGGCATCCATAATTGTAATCGCGATTAGAAATTCGATTAACTGTGCAGCCCTAATTGATCAGATAAATCAAAGCAAACTAATCAATAGCCAATTCCAAACGCAAAGTTTTCTAACTGCACACATTGCTCAGTCTGTTTTCAGATGTGACGTCAATACTTCTGCTTGTGTTAGTCCCTCTTCACTTTGCTCATTTGGCTGGTGTTAATCTGCAGATGCGTCTTGCAAGTGGCTCAGGTGATGACACTGTAATACCTCCAATTATTCAGTCTGAAGACTGTCGTGAGCCACACGATGCTGCCTCCATTACTGAGATGTGATGTGAGAGTGTGACTGTGTCAGAAAGCTTACCTGCCTGATGGAAACCGATTTACAAAAATCATCAAATCATTCCTTCATATTAATACAGTATACTGTGATTTTAGGTTCTGTGATTGGTCATTTTTTTCAAGTTTTTGCCTTCACTGGATCAATTTAAGCATCATAACAAATGTTTAAAATGGGCAAAATGAAAATCAGATCATCATCAGGACATGAAAACTTTCCAAAAGTATTAATGAAATACAGGCTAATATGCTGTCATTGCCATGATAGAGTACACATGTTATAATTTCATTATTTTTACATTTATAATTTCTTTAATATGTAAAGATATAGCAAAAGCAAGCCATAGAATGAAACATGGAGAGGGACTGAAACAAATGTCGAACGGGGAAGAAACACATTCCCCTGCGCGCACACACACACACACACACACACAGAGGGTCAGCAACAACGAACGACTGATTTATAAAATGAGAGCACAAGCACGTAACAGGACAGTGATAGCAGTGTGTGTGCATCAACACCAACACAATGTGTTTTTTCAGGGTAAGGAAGAGTCTAATATTTATGACTCCTAAAAAATTCATTTAGATATTTCTTTGGGGGTGTAAAATTATACTGTACATGTCATGGTGATACAGCTGTTCTGATAACATAATGAAGATAAAAGCCTGTTTACAAAGATAAAAAAATAAATCTTATTATTAAATAGTTTTGCATAATATTTTATTACTATTTCACTGGGAAAAAATATAGAAATAAAAAATGAACCAGTTTTGTTAAAATATTTAGGGGAATATATTTGATGAATGACTGACAGCCAAATCACTTGGCGTGACCAACAGATAGAATAGAGAATGATATCATATTATTATTATTATTAATCATATTTATATATTAGTAAATCAGTGTATGTCAGTGATACTATCTGACTATTTGATCATTGTCATTTTTATGTACGTCATATACGACTGCGTCAAATACAGCAGTATTTTTAAGGAGGATGGATTGAGGATTCATTTCTGACATATATAATATTATAAACCATATTGTCCATTTTTATCAACAGTTCCCTGCTATGAAAAGCTAAATGAATATTAACAAATAAAATGAAATTTCAGATATTTTGACCATTTATGACATGGCTAGTTTAACGCATTTTGTCATGTGATGCAACTCCCCAAAAAGTTAATGATATTTATAAATTAATAAATATATTCTTAAAATATACTCTTCACCCAAATAACAATAATAATAGTGACAATAATAACAATTTATTCAAAGTGCAAGGGCAATATATTATTACTTTGTATTGGTTACACCACATGACATTTTAGAGTCATGAAATGTAAACTTGTTTTTTTTTAATGGGTAGAAAAGTATTTCAAAACCAAAATGAACATAAAGAATACATTAATTAGCTCTTGGCACATGTGTTTTAGATTCACATTTGTTCCTTTTCTTTCCTGTAGATTTTCTTTTTCTGTAGAATTTGCTTTATAAAAGAAAATATAAATTCACTAACCCTGCGTGAGCCTCAAATACATTTTATTAACAGTAGAAAAGCACAATCTATAAAAGAGGCGCACATACATTTGTTCTGTACTCCCTATATCATCGCAGTTTTATTATCATCCTATAATTTTGAGCTGACTATGGCTTGCTGAGACATGCACATTCACGTAATTCACAATTTGCCCATGTAATATCTCGAATCCCCAGGAGGGACGGACTTAAGTGTGACACCATTGTTTAAAATGGATTTATTCAGCCTATTGAGATGTAAACCACCACAGAGCTCAGAACGAGCAGTGTACATACATTTCAAACCAGTCCTACCGACAACAATAAAACATTTTCATGAGGGGTGTTGTGGTAGAAGACCGACAAAATGGCAGTGGTCTAATAAAAGCTGCCATTTGAACACCTTTTATTGCTTTAGCGGGCGTCTGGAGACGTCACCGAGAGCCCCTGAGATTCCTGCCTGTGCCCAGAAACAATTCATCAGCTCTGATTTACAGACACACACACAAGAATACACACCGGCCTTATCAGTATCCACACCGCCTCTCGCTCTAGACAGCGCGAGTGATTTACCGAGCCTGAGACAACAAGATGCGTGGATGGGCAGCCACAGTTATCTGCCGCCCCCTCTGACAATCACACACAATAAAGCTACTCGGCAAACGCTCTAGCCCACAGAACTATGTGTGCGTGTGCGATAAGGCCTGCCCTTTGATAGTGTGCATGCAACCAACTGATAGCATTATAATAAAACACACGGATCGCCCAGGTAAGGAGCAAGTGAGGAAAATATCTGTTACACTGGTATTTCCAATGGAAGAGAAGTTTAATTAGATAAACGGACAGGTTTGATTAAAAAACAAAATGTCAGTTTACACACAGACAAAAATTTATGAAATATTCCAAATTAGAATATCAACAAATTATAGGGTAGACAAGAGTTTAAAGGAATAGTTCACCTGAAAATGTAAATTTGCTAAATATTTATTCGCCTTCAGGCCATGCAAGATGTAGAGGAGTTTGTTTCTTCATCAGAACAGATTTGGAGAAATGTAGCATTACATCAGTTGCTCACCAGTGGATGCTCTGCAGTGAATGGGTGCCGTCAGAATGAGAGTCCAAACAGCTGATAAAAACATCACAATAATCCACAAGTAATGCACATCACTCCAGTCCATCAGTTAATGTCTTGTGCAGGTTTGTAAGAAAAAAATCCATCATTAAGATGTTTTAACTTTAAACCCATGCTTCTGGCTAAAATATGAGTCCATGAGTCCTGTTTTCTTCTCACATCAAAATCCACCAACATATTTGTTTAGAGCTGTTTTTGCATGTAAACGGTGCTTGACCTGTGCATATTTCTCTCCTGGTTCAGACAAGATGACTTTTTCACTGGAGGAAGCGATGTTATGAATAAAGGACTTTGACTTTATTGATTTTAAATGCCTTAATGATGGATTTGTTTCTTATAAACATGCAGCTTTTCTCTTCATAAAATGTTGAAATGATGGATTACTTGTGGATTATTGTGATGTTTTTATCAGCTGTTTGGACTCTCATTCTGACGGCACCCATTCACTGCAGAGCATCCACTGGTGAGCAAGTTATGTAAGGCTATATTTCTCCAAATCTGTTCTGATGAAGAAACAAACTCATCTACATCTTGCATGGCCCGAGAGCGAGTACGTTTTCAGCAAATTTTCATTTTTGGGTGAATTATTCCTTTAAATTTTTTACAACCCAGAATATACCTGTGAAAATGATGTAGTGACAAATTGATAATCTAAGTGGAATTTTTTTCAATAAAATAGTTGAAAATTTCTTCATGCCAAACATCAAAATTTACATTTAAGCAACACCCTGAAGTACTAGATGCCATTTATATAAAAAACTGTATCTGACATCCTTTAGCTAACTTCCTCTGAGCTAGAAGAAAAGCATGGACTAAAGCAGATGGTGTGTGTGTGTGTGTGTGTGTGTGTGTGTGTGTGTGTGATAATATCTGGGTACAAGTTGGCCTTGATCAAGTGGGTTTTGGTATAATGTGGGATGTTGTGAATTTTTGGACGATGTGTGATGGCAATGATATAGTTCTGTTTTTGGAGAAAAAGTAATGACAGCAGTATTGATAAAAAGCGATTCTTTATTATAAAAAATAACTTTTTATTAATACTAATTATTGAAAATATAATTATTAAAAACATAATTGTAACATCTTACGGAAAAAAAATCAATGTAGAATTTTCCTGATTATAACACTTAAAATAATTATAGCTAGGACCCCAAAGTGGAATGGAGGACAAGGCCAAAATAGAGAAATTCTGGAAATTGCTTAATTTCATTTAGCCAAAAGTATTTAAAAATATAAAAATCAAATATCTAAAGCTTAGTGGGTCTCTTCTGTAAATCAGGGGAAAATGTATGATATTTATGTTTTGCTCAGAAAAACAAAATTGCAATTAAACTAAACAGAAAACTTTTTAAATTTTTTGGGAAAAAAACAAAACAATTTTAAGCAGTGTTACACTTATTGTTTTTATGCTTAAACCCTTTTTCGTCTTTGACCCACATACTGGTAAAAAAAATAAAATAATGTATAGCCTGAATGCACTGTAAGTCACTTTGGATAAAAGCGTCTACTAAATGCATAAATGTAAATGTAAATATATATAGGAGACAAAGGTTCCCCTAATCAAACATTCGCCTATATATGTGTGTATATGTCTTACCAAAAGCGGTCTGCATGCTGGGGTCCAGCGTGGGCTGCCCGTCCCCTGAGGGTAGGTCTAGACGTGTGAAGTCCCTGCTCTTGTCGTTGTTGTATTTCACATTCAGACTGGTCAGCTTGGAGAACTCAACATGCAGAGTGCAGCAGCCGTTGTAGATGTTCTGCCCATCCAAAGCCTGACACAGACACGAAACACTATTATGCCATTCTCTCACAAAGAAATGATAGTTTGCTTAAATAAAAACAAGCCTATTTTAGGACAGTTACATATTTTTTGCATATCTTCCCAGTAGAAATGTACATTACTAGAAAGTGTTATTGCAAAAATAAATCTCAGATACATAATAAAAATTATATTTATTAAAATTAAAGTAAAATTACATTTATAGATCATGAGTTTTTATTGACTAACAAAATTAAAAATACATATTTTTATTTACTTCTCTTTTTTATTGTATTTAATTCCTTTCCCATTAGATTTACCCATCACTGTATATTTGCCTCTCCAATCACGGGACACTGACCTATTCTGGCACATTCTGATTGATTACACCTGCTCTACTTCATTACATCAGGGTTTAATGGAGCCTGAGCATCTCATCTCAGTTTTTCAGTCTGTTAATCAATATCTTAAATCAAACAACAGCCAAACTCCTAAAACTGATCTAGAAGAAGCTCGCAGTCACAAGGTTTGTATCTCCACTGAGCCCTGTTAATGGTTCCTGAGAAACATGAAGGTCAAAGTGCAAAACCAAACGGAATGAAAAGCAACATGTGCAGTGAAAACGAATCGATAAACTCTCAACCCATGAAACCTCAAAATATATTTGCAAATCATTTTCATTTGAAGTAATCTCTCCCTGACCCTGAGTATCTGCCATTATAGTGACAAAAATGGCTTTCTCGGTCATTTTACCCGTAATCTCCATCTCGTTATGGCCATTTTGGAAATATATGAACCTTAGATAAGAGAACAAGATCGCCACTCAACATGACAGAGTTTGCTTCTTAATCTAGTGTGACATTTTCATTATTGAATTGTCTGTGTAGGCCTGAAGCAGGTTTGGCAGGGCGGAGGCGATGTGAAATAACTTCTCCCATGGAGCCAGTTCATTTAACTAAACCCTGATGACAAATGCAAATCACATCTAATCCTGACAGTGGCCTGAGCAACGACAGGGAAGAATAAAGAGCTGTTGCACAGATGTGCTGTTGGATTTAAACAATCAGATGAACAAATTCTGAACCTAGGCTGATAGTTTTATATTTGATGCCAAATCTACACTTCAGATTATTGTAAAGATTCAAGGGTGGGCTCTTTGGACTCTTTTGGGCTGATGAGCAACCATCCTGTTCCAACCAGCCTAGAAACCACATAGCAACATGCTGGAAAACACTCAGAACACCTTAGCAACTGCAATTCAACCCCCTACCATTATGACAGAAATATATAGACTTCCGTTTACAAGTTTGAGGTTGGTAAGATTTTTTTATGTTTTTGAAATAAGCCCCTTATGCTCATCAAAGCTACATTCAATTGATCGAAAAATACAGTAAAAACAGTAATATTTTGTGAAATAGTTTTACAATTTACAATAACTTTTTTCTATGTGAATATATTATAAAATGTAATTTATTCCTGTGATCAAAGCTGAATTTTCAGCATCATTACTCCACTCTTCAGTGTCACATGATCTTCAGAAATCATTCTAATATGCTGATTTGCTGCTCGAGAAACATTTCTGATTATTATCAATGCTGAAAACAGTTGTGCTGCTTCATATTTTTATAGAAACTGTAATACATTTTTTTTTTCCGAAGGAGTCTTTCATGAATAGCATTGGGCAGATTACTTACAAATCGCAGTCCTTTACTGATTCCAAATTAAAAGATAAAAATTGTAGTTAGGAACATAATCCATTACATTACACATTTTAAGTAATACTTTTTAATACTATACTTTTTGATTACTTTCAGATTACTTTTGACCCAACTGATTTATCACATTGATTTAAATAGGATAATCTAGTACCATATTGATATAGAAATACAAAGAGAATGAAAATATATTCCATTAGCAACATGAAGTGAATTAAACAATGTATTATGTCAAAGTTTCCCAAACTGGGGTTTGTGAAGGAACAGCAGGGGCTTAACGAAAAGCTAATAATTAATTGTAAAAATGTAAGTTAAAATAAAAACATTTTTTAATAACAACAATCAAAATACAATACTTAATCAAAAAAATATGAAAGGATCCTTAAAAAATATTTAAGGATCCTCACTGTGTAATCCAGATCACATATAATCAGTTACTATCCAGCACTGCTGATGAATATAAACATTGTTTATTTGAAATAAAAATAATTTGTAATATTAGAAATGTCTTTACTGTCACTTTTGATCAATGTAATGCATCTCTGCTGAATAAAACTATCCATTAATTTAAAAAACAAAAGTATGTATTTTTAAAAATCTACTTTTAGTTAGTGTTACATTTCTGTAATTGATAATCACTTGCGCTTTTCCAGCCGAAGACGCTGAGAAAGTAAGGTGCATTTGCACACAATTGTTCCTTTTTTGCAGCAATTTTAAACAGGAGGAAGGGGGGCTTCATCAGCATCGCCCATTTCAAAAAAGACCCCTGTCCCCACCCCTCCTGTTACACTAACAAATACTCTCTTTGTGCAAGGAGGCAATGCAACATGGCAGCCGCACAATAGATAACACCCTCAGACCAGAGGAGTAATTACTTGCTAGCTCTTTTTCCCCTGCTGAGCTGCATTGGCATTCATTAGATAACCTCAACGGTGACATATTAATTACAGGGGCGCTTTGATTTGTGCGGTCTACTGGGAGCTGGTTTTCCTGCCGTCTTCCTGTTGCTTTGACAAATTTTTGGCTCAGCCCCAAAAAATACCAGAGAGTGCCAAAAATGAGGTGATGGAGGACAGGTGTGAGCAGCCTCGTGATTGATCGTGAAGCTTTGATTATACGGGACGGCCGAGCGATTAGGAAGCAGCGCTGACCACAGATAAACCGTCTGTCTCCACAGACAGCCTGAGGAAATAAACTAGCGTGTACTAAAGCTGCTTGCCATGTTTTCATCCCACCCAACCCAATTCATCCCACCAATGAGATAATAAGAGGAGCATTTTGTGACTGCGGGTTCTATTTCGGTACTGACCACTTTGGCGTGATGTGCGTTCATTGGATCTGCATATTGTAGCAAGGCCTGGAACTGGTTGTTCTTGGTGAAGGTAATGATCTTCAGGACCGTTCCGAATTTTGAGAAGATCTAAATGAAGGAGAAGACAAGAAAATGAAGGACAGGCATGTTAAAAAGTCTAGTTTAAACCAGCCCAAGGTGGTTTGCTCATCTTAGCTGGTGGTCTAGCTGGTCACCCAACCTGACCAAGGTGGTTTTGAGCTGGTTTAGCTGGTCAGCCAGCTGATAAGTGGCTAAAATCCCAATAAAGCCAATAAACCAGACCAGTCTGACCAGTGGAAACCATCCTGAAACCAGTAAACAACTTCGGGCTGGTTTAAAGTGCTGGCTTCCAACACTAGATTTCAACTTTTGAGTCCCACATGACTGGACTACAAGCAATCTTTGAACACCAGTGTTTCCTGCCACTTTGACCTTGTGGAAAGGTAACTTACAAGGTGATGAAGTAGGAAGTGTACATGTTAAACGGTGAAAACAGTGCAAGCAAATGAATGAGGTAACAAGTATTTGAGATTAGAACGGAAATATCCTGCTTGATATATAGCAGAAAGCAAAAAAAAGACGTATTTTGTTTTTTTATCTGAATGTCATGATTACTTGATGTATTGATTGCATGCTGATGTAATTGAAAAACCATGCTGATAATTATTATAACAGAAATATTACCAAATATCGAACTGAATCAAGATAGTCCCAAATATTAAAACTAATCAAAGTTGGTATCAAATAAACATTGAATCAAAGGTTTGTGATTCAGAACTGAATCAGGAGTCAGTGCCAATTCCCAGACCTATTGGAGATCAATGACAAGCGTCACATTTCGGTATAGTGTAGTCTTACCTGGTGTAGCACTTCTAGAGACACTGGGTAGTAGAGATTCTCTACGATGATACGAAGCACAGGACTTTGTCCAGGCATCATTCCACCGTCACTGCCTGTCGCAGTCCCAGAGAGACTCATATTCCCAGAATGCACAGCATTGACAGCTTGCAGAGCAGCCTGAACCCTCTACAAATGAGACGTACAGGCCAGGGTTAACATTCTGACCAAACTCTTCTAAAACTTTACACTCACACAGAGTACACACAAGTTCACCTCAATCTTACTTCTGCACTCGCTGGTATGCCTGATTCCCATGGCTCTAAAATGCACTCTCAGCAAATGACTCTGTAATGAGCCGTTTTACATACTGTAAAACTAATAGCTCTGGGTAGAGCAAAAGTATAAAGGAGGCACTAAATATGCAGAGATACCATTCTGAGTTCGTAAAAAAGACAGCAAGCTAAATAATGTTAGGGTTATGTATGGGTTTAATGCTAGAGCTTCATCAGCCTGTCACACAAAGTGGAGTGCTTTCCACCTTTAAACAAGGCCAGAAAGTTTTCTTTTTAGAAAGTTTCTTTTTCTTTGCCAATTTATGACACAGCAAGGTTGTTTCAGGCTGACATAGCTAGAAAAAATATTACCTTGAACATTTTTTTGAATTGAGTACAATTACATGTATTCAAGGTGTAAGGAAATATTTTATTACTTTTTACTGATGGCTAGTCATTATATCAAACACTATTGAAAACAGTATCAAAGTAAAAAAAAAAAAAAAAAAAGAACAGTTTAATTAAACAATATGAATACAAAAATACATGTCAAATGGTGTCATCATATTGTATAACCAAAAAAATTAATCCATGATAGCTGATAGCTAGAACAAAAAAATGTAAAAGTTTAATGTTTTTTTTGGAAAAAAGTGAGTAAAATCTCATATATTCAAGGTTTAAAACATTTTATTACTTTTTACTGATTGTTACACCACACTAAAAAAACATGAAAAAACTATTATGAATACAAAAAGTACAGGTGGGGTCAAATTTCTGAGAAATTTTATGAGCAAAAAAGCACCATTGTCAATAGTGTAGCCATATATGAAGCACAGCTCACACAGAAGTCACTTTCAAACCAAGCAGCTTTCTGTTGGTGAGCACAACGAATTTGCGTGACCATGTGAAATTTCACCAAGCAACAATAAATGTGACCGTGCCTTAAGAACTTGACAATTGCATTTAAACTAAATTATTATTAAATTATGCTTTTATATAATCTTGGATAACACTATCTGTCATTAACCCTACTATGCTAGTGAAAGAGGTGTTTAAACGTGTTTGGAGTGACAGTAATTCTCACCCCCTGATTGGGCAGATTATCAGTCTTGAGCTCACGGTGGTTGGAATACTGGATGTAGACGGGCTGGTTGCGGACATGGGGTGTGGCTGTGGTGTAGTAGTTGACCATGGTGATTGCTGCTTCTTCAGAAGCCATTTCTATAAAAGCCTGTAGTGCAAAGAGAGACATACTGTAAATGCTCAGCCCTGATAACAACAGCATTCGGCTAATTGCACATATGTGGTGTCAGTTAATCCAACTTTTTTCTTAGTCTGTTTTAATGTAACACTCAAATGAAATAAATATTAGTGGGCTAAAAGAAATGGAGATAAAGAAGAAGAAATGCTGCTTTGCACTTATGGATGGACAATAGAACAAGCTTAATGATGACTGTAGCACAAACAATTCGGGACAAAGTTTAAAATCACCAACCCTAAGCATGAGCAATACAACAGTGATGCTTGTCTTAACAGGCACCTCTAATAATTATTCTGACCTCATCAAGCAAGGTGTGAAAGAATTATAGATGCAGAATCTGACAATAAAAGAATCTTTTGAAGCCCCAATCAAATCAAGCAGCAAACAACAAATTATGCAACAGGGGCATTAAGAAATCTGTCTGCCTGTCTTTTCTTGTCTAAATATGCCAGGTTCCATTTGAATATGAAAAGACACTCGAGTGGAAGCGGGAGACTGCCGTGTTTTTGCAGGGCTTCTGTTATTAGATGGACCTTGATGTGTTTGAAAGGATGCACACTTCAGTTTCTATCACTGGCCATCACTAATGAAGCGAAAACAGATCTGGACCCTTGTCCTCACCATGCCTTATAAAGGAAAAATACAGACAAAATGATTCTTTGATGGTGGTGGTTCTTAGTAAAGTGGGTTTTTGTGGGTCAGACTCATGACAAAAAATGTCTGGATGATATTTCAGTCCAAAAGCAGAAAAAAAAAGAATTAAGAGAATGATGCCTATTTTATGAATAATTATTTTTATAATACAAAAAAATAAATAAAAAACATTAAAAATTATATCATTACCGTAATGCAAAAAAGTTACATTATCAAAGTTGCATTAAAAGTTATATTACTGTAACACAAATACCATCCTGTCCAGAAATCCTTTATACACACACACACACACACACACACACACACACTAAAAAGCATATACAAACACATATATTTGCATTGAAGGAGCATCCAATAATTTTCCTCAGTGAAAAGTTTTTATAACCTAATTCTATTTTAAATTATGTAAAAAAAAAATTACTATGATGTTTACATTTATAAATTAAATAATATATTATTATATTTTTTTTAAATCAAAATTAGATTTTTTTTTACTGAGAATATGCTTAATAACCTAAAATAAATCTTAATAACCTTCATTTTTTTGTCCAAGACAATCCCAGAGACAATGGTATTGTCACACCACTGTTCCTTACTGAGGAAGTAATCCTACATTTCCTAAATCATGTTACACCGTGATGAACCACACAGAGGTTTAACAGTGAGAATATGTATGCTGGTTTTCTCTGATCTTATTCATGCCATTTAATCCGGAAATTCCACTGCTAAACCAACATGAAAGCGTAAGGTGAGGTTTGAGAATCTCAAAAGGCAAATTTCAAACCCATCAGTGTTTCTCAAATGCCTAGGGATCCAATGGTCATGCTGCAAAATGCTTACAGAGCTGAAAGAAAGGGCAGGGATGTGTTCGCAGGTTAATGGAGCACCTACTTGGTTTTTCCCTTTAAGCATCAACAGGTTGGTGACTTTGCCGAAAGGGACTCCTAGTGAGATGACCTCTGCCTCAGACACTTCGATGGGAACTTTGCGGACGTGGAGGACGCGGGAAGGGTCACAAGGAGATCGTTCTCCTTTATACGTTTTACTGTCAGTGCCATTAGCTGCCAAAAAGGAAAAAGAAAGAGACATATTTTCATTTTTTGATTTTACCAGTTTTCCAAATGCCAAAACTGGCATTGATGTACATGGATATTACAAAAGCAAGACCCGTCAGACACCGAACACAATTATTATCGATTGACTGACACCAAAAAGGTCACTGTTACAAAATATTTTGCAATGTTTTGGCCTCACAAAGGACCTTCAATGAAGGGTAAGATACAGCAGACAGACAGACATGGGCAGAAACACAAAACAGACAATATGACAGTGGTGGGCAGCATCTCTGACGCTTCCCCTTGAAACAATACGACAAGCCTCTTACAGGATTAAGCAGTCCTCTGTAGCCTGTCAAGACTCCAAATGGCACCCATTGTGGGGCGTTTGGCACTTGGCTATGTCCAGGGGCACATCACAGGCTGGTGACAGGTTTAACAGAGACAGACCGTGGCGGAGTGCCTGCCTCAGCTTTCAACACTTGCAGCTTTCACGTTCTTTCAAGCCCTTGCACTGCTTGTATTTGTTTGATTGCAGATAACGGCATCAAAGCAATTGGTATCAGTGTCAGTGTTGGGTGCAAAATGAAAAGATGTTAGAATATGCATGTATTATACATTAAATTTTTACTAACACATATTACAGCCTACAGTGGGCAGACTTGTGGTCAATTTACCCAAATTCCCAATGTTTGCTAAACAGATAGTCCTGCCCTAAAATCACACAACTGAGCTCTGAAAAGTTGCACACTTCACCCTAAAGTAACCTCAAGTAATTTTGGAAGTGAAACAAATGAATGTGCAGAAATTGCTGCATTGTTAGACTCTCCTATTATGTATTTGTCTAGTCACTGGTAGGTCATGCATGAACAATGAACGTAAAAGCTCTAGTACTGTAATACAGTCAATAAACATCTTGTAATAAACATCTTCAGACACATTAAAATAAGGGTCACATATTCCTCAATTTGTATATGTGCAGGCACCAAATTCTCCATGATGAATGCAGTAGTGCACAAGCATGAGTGAAAGTGAGATCTCTCTCTCGCTCTCTCTCACGCATTGATACACTCTCTCTTTCCAAAGTTAAGCCTGCCGATGAGAGGAGGCAGAGAGAAACAGCAGTGCACAGAAGAAAATACTGCCATCAGCAGGACATCCAGCCATAGTTGAAAAAATGAACAGGCTCAATACAGTGATCCAGAACCTCCCCTCATTGTCCAGCACAATGACCAAGACCTGCACCTTACAGCCTAGTGATCTAGCTCCTCACAACCTAGAACAGTGATCCAATCTTTCCCTCCCAGGCCAGAGATCTAGACCCAGCCCTCACAGCTCAAAACATTGATCTAGACCCACTCCTCACAGACCAACACAGTGATCTCATCACTCCCTTACTGTCCAGAGATCTAGACACTCCCCTCACAGGCTAGCAGTGACCTAGATCCTTTCACAGCCCATTTCACTGATCTAGAACCTCCTCTTACAGCCAAGCACAGCCATCCGATCCCTACCAGTCCAGGGATCTAGACACTTTTCTTCACAGCCCAGCACATTGATACAAATAATCCCCCTCACAGCCCAATGATCTAGACCCTTCTGTCAAAGTCCAGCACAGTGACCTAGGCCCTCCCCTCACAGCCTAACACAGTGTTCCCATCCATCCATCCTAGTCCAGAGATCCAGACCCTCTTGTCACAGCCCAGCATAGTGATCTAGACCCTGTCAAAGCCCAGCACAGTGACCTAGACCCTCCCCTCACAGCCCAACACAGTGTTCCCATCCATCCATTCTAGTCCAGAGATCCAGACCCTCGTCATAGCCCAGCATAGTAATCAAGATCCTTCCTTACAGCCAAGCACAGCCATCCGATCCCTACCAGTCCAGGGATCTAGACACTTTTCTTCACAGCCCAGCACATTGATACAAATAATCCCCCTCACAGCCCAATGATCTAGACCCTTCTGTCAAAGTCCAGCACAGTGACCTAGGCCCTCCCCTCACAGCCTAACACAGTGTTCCCATCCATCCATCCTAGTCCAGAGATCCAGACCCTCTTGTCACAGCCCAGCATAGTGATCTAGACCCTTCTGACAAAGCCCAGCACAGTGCCCTAGACCCTCCCCTCACAGTCCAACACAGTGTTCCCATCCATCCATCCTTGTACAGAGATCCAGACCCTTCTGTCACAGCCCAGCATATTGATCTAGACCCTTCTGTCACAGCCCAGCATAGTGATCTAGACCCTTCTGTCAAAGCCCAGCATAGTGATCTAGACCCTTCTGTCACAGCCAAGCATAGTGATCTAGACCCTTCTGTCACAGCCAAGCAAAGTGATCTAGACCCTCCTGTCAAAGCCCAGCACAGTGACCTAGACCCTTTCCTCACAGCCCAGCAGTGATCTAGACCCTCCCCTCATAGCCCAACACAGTGTTCCCATCCCTCTATCCTAGTCCAGAGATCCAGACCCTCCTGTCACAGCCCAGCATAGTAATCTAGACCCTTCTGTCAAAGCCCAGCATAGAAATCTAGACCCTCTTGTCACAGCCCAGCATAGTGATCTAGACCCTTCTGTCATAGCCCAGCATTGTGATCCAGACCCTTCTGTCACAGCTCAGGCTAGTCTGTCACAGCCCAGTATAGTGATCTAGACCCTTCTGTCACAGCCCAGCATAGTGATCTAGACCCTTCTGTCACAGCTCAGCATAGTGATTTAGACCCTTCTGTCACAGCTCAGCATAGTGATCTAGACCTTCCTGTCAAAGCCCAACACAGTGTTCCCATCCCTCCATCCTAGTGCAGAGATCCAGACCCTTCTGTCACAGCTCAGCATAGTGATCTAGACCCTTCTGTCATAGCCCAGCATTGTGATCCAGACCCTTCTGTCACAGCTCAGGCTAGTCTGTCACAGCCCAGTATAGTGATCTAGACCCTTCTGTCACAGCCCAGCATAGTGATCTAGACCCTTCTGTCACAGCTCAGCATAGTGATTTAGACCCTTCTGTCACAGCTCAGCATAGTGATCTAGACCTTCCTGTCAAAGCCCAACACAGTGTTCCCATCCCTCCATCCTAGTGCAGAGATCCAGACCCTTCTGTCACAGCTCAGCATAGTGATCTAGACCCTTCTGTCACAGCTCAGCATAGTGATCTAGACCCTTCTGTAAAAGCTCAGCAGAGTGATCTGGACCCTCTCTCACAGCCCAGAGATCTAGACCCTCCTTTCAAAGCTCAGTACAGAGATCTAGACACCAGCCATACAGACCAACACAGTGATCCCATCCCTCCAGACCAACACAGTGATCCCATACCTCCCTCCTAGTCCAGAGATCCAGAGATTTATTATGCAACAATGACACTAAAAGAAGTATGTGACTAGACAACCAATAAGAGTCCAAAAATTGTAGTGTGTGCTTTTCAGCTGTTAAAATGAATCATTGCCAAGGGGATCTAGTGAAATTCACGTCAGAGAAGGGATTTACAGCGAGAAACAAACCTTAGCAAAGCAACAGGCCCCGAACAACAATGTGTAGTCCTATGGGGGTTACTATAATGAGTGATGGCCTTCTGGTGTCTGTCTCTAGGTGTCTGTCTACAAGCTGGTGTCAGCAAATGTTTAAAGTATTCAAAACCATAAGTGTTGGTTTCGTCCTCAACATCAGGTACTTAAAAGTCTATAGCAATTTGATTTAAAAAATATGAATGTGTGCTTAAACCATGTTTACACACATGTATACACATACTGATTCCTGTACTGCCAGTTGTACAAGCAGATAAAATATAATCAGTGTTACATTTATGCCCTGCCTAGTCTGACTGCTACAAATACAAACCCTTATTTAATACTAATGAGGTCTGTCTTAGTCCAGACCCTGCATCTAGATTCAGTCGAAAGCGATATGGATCATGAAAAACAAGCATGCATCTGCAAGACATCTAATGTTAATGCACAGAACATGAGTCTGATTAAACAGGCAACAAAACAAAATCTCCAGTGGAATAACTCAATGCAGGCTGAGGTAGTAGCCTACCACATGCAGAGAGCTAACAAACTGAGAAAAGAAACGAGATAATCCCTTTAGAGAACAGGCAAATTGTATTCATGATAGTTTCCCATATACTGCAGAAAAGGACGCACAGACACAACATGCTGAAAGAAAAAAACATATATTTTTTTATAATATAATACCTAAACTGCTGTTGAATAGCTCTTAGTCTGCAGTTTTCTTCCCTGGAAGCTCATTCGGAATATAAAATATGCAAGTTTGAATAAGCTCAATTATGCTTTATTATAACTGAACCTACTGCAACCAAGGATTTATTTATGATGCATGGATGAGACTCTTATGTGTCCTAGAGACAGGCATCTCGCCACATAGCAGCCACCAGGAGAACAGAAAGATGATTGGACCACTTTTCCAATGACCCTGTGTTACCATGGTGACCATACACATGACCTATCAAGGCATCTGGCTTCACCACAGCGATTCATCTCATTGTGCCGTTAACAAATCTTATTGTGTGTTTAATGTGATTAGAGGAACCATCCCTGGATCAAATATGCCACAGGCTTTTCAAGAGGAAATGAGTAAAAAGGATCTTTGAAATTCACTGGCCATATGTAAACTCAATACACAGAATGGATTGTGGAAAACAAAAGAAACATTTCCTACATTACTTAAGCATGCCAAAATTTTGGCCACACTTTAATTTAGGGACCAATTCTAACTATTAACTTTGCTTATGAGCATGCATATTACTAGCTTATTGGCTGTTTATTAATGATTATAAAGCACATATTAATGCCTTATTCTGCTTAAACACATTCTAGATCTTTTAATCCAATCCCACACCTAAACTTAACAACTACCTTAACTAAATATTAATAAGCAGCAAATTTGAGGCAAAATTCATAGTTAATAGTTAGTTGATAGTGAGAACTGATCCGTAAGTAAAGTGTGACCAAAAATTAAAAAATAAGTATCCTTTGCAAATGTTGCTAAATCA